TGAATCTTATTAATTGCCACAATGTATTTTACATCCACAATGAAATAGCCTACACTTCCAAATAACAAAAAAAAAAATCTTCCTTCCCAACTCCTAGAGTATGCTTTCATGTGGCTGCTAGGTTTAGCCAAGAAAATGAAGGCAATTTTCAGAACCACAATACCCATAGAAATGAAACCAAGATAGAAAAGGTCAACATAAAGTCTGTTAAATTTCCTTTAGAACACAGAAAAAAGATCATTTCTAAGATAATCTTATCTCTGTGATAATCATATATTTCTATAAACCTCTAGAACATAAATTGGCTTAGCAGGCTCTAAGATTGTATTGTGAATATAACCAGACAATACATAAATGAATGGATGTGGCTATGTTCCAATAGAAGTTTATTTACAAAAACAGGTGGTACACAGGATTTGACCACAGGAGTATTTTTCTGGCCCCCAAAGTTTGATCTTTATCAAGTAAAAATCCACTTCCCTAGCTGCATACTTATTTGATCAAATACACACAAATGGACATGGTAATGACATTACAACCCTGAAAAAACAAATTATCAAAATCACTTATCTTTTACCTTCTTTTCATAACATAAGCGCACACATTTTTTAAAATATAAAATTATGAACATCACTTCAAGCTAACATATTATTTTAAGAACGGTTAAAATCAGTGAGGTACTGGTTGCTCAGGCCTGTGATCCTTGTTACTCAGAACAGTAAAATCAGAGGATTGTGGTTCAAAGACAACTGGAGCAAGAATATCCGTGACACTCTTATCTCTAATAACAGATAAAGCGAGAAGTGGTGCTGTGGCTTAAGTGTTAGATTGCTAGCCTTGAGCAAAAGGATTTCAGGGACAGCGCCCAGACCCAGGGGGAAAAAGCAATTAAAAAAGAATGCTAAAGGGCTGGGAAGGTGGTTCAGTGGTAGAGCGCTTGCCTTGCATGCATGAAGCCCTGGGTTTGATTCCTCAGCACTACATAAGCAGAAAAAGCCAGAAGTGGCACTGTGGCTCAAGTAGTAGAGCACTAGCCTTGAGCTGAAGAGCTGAAGAGCTGAGGGACAGAGCCCAGGCCAAGTTCAGGCCCCACAAACGACAAAAAAAATGAATGCAAAGTAGCTACTATAGAAGGAAAAGGTACAGTGTAGACAGTGAAATAATTTACTCAGTATTTTGATAAAGTACATAGGACAAGTCTACTAAATTCATGGTCAAGATTCATAACCACTATTGAAAATACAGAAGCAGACTTTCAAAATATGATTAAATGAGAACACAAATTTGTTATCTGAGGGAATACTTTCCAGTTCTGCCAAAATGTTTAATTTAGAATGCGAAAACTACAACCTCTTTTGCATATCATGTGCCTATTTAATTTTAAAATACAGAATTTTATGTTATAGTTGACATCCTGGTCATGTAGACAGTATATTTGTGTAAAGGAAAATGGTTGGTAGCCATTTTAATATGATGAGAGTTTATCACATGGTAAGTTTAAGGCCTCTTGTTAAAGAGCATATTTAAACTCAGGGACTGTAAAAAGAGAAAATGCTCACATTTCTTGCAGACAAACCATGGGTAGTCTACAGATCAGAAAGAAGTGAAAGAGGGCTGGGAAGGGGCTCAGTGGTAGAGTGCTTGCCTTGCATGCATGAGGCCCTGAGTTCAATTCCTCTGCACCACAAACACAGAAAAAGCCAGAAGTGGTGCTGTGGTTCAAGTGGTAGAGTGCTAGCCTTGAACTGAAGAGCTGAGGGACAGTGCCCAGGCCCAGAGTTCAGGCCCCATGACAGGACCCAAAAACAAAAAAAGAAAAAAAAATCAATTAAAACATTCTATTCTGTAGATTCTTTTTTTCCCAGCCCTGGGCTTGAACTCAGGGCCTGGACACTCTTCCTGAGCTTCTTAAGCTACAGAGCTACTTCCAGGCTTTTCTGTTTATGTGGTACTGAGGAATCAAACCCAGAGTTTCTGGCATGCTAGGCAAGCACTCTACCACTAAATCACATTCCTAGCCCCAAAGCATTCTATTCTGTAAAACTTCCTGTGAACAAGTTAGAAAGGAAACTAAAGAAGTGAAAGAATATATTTTCAAACCACATATCTGACAAAGGGTTAGTATTTAAGATACATGAAGAACTCTCAAAACTAACCAGTTTTTAAAAATTTAACTAGAAAACAGATAAAAGATAGGAAAAGGTATTTTTTTTTGGTCAGTTGTAGGGCTTGAACTCTGGGCCTGGGCAATGTCCCTGAGCTCTATAAGTTCAAGGCAAGTCCTCTACAACTTGAGCCACAGTGCTACTTCCAGTTTTCTGATGGTTTATTGGAGATGAGTCTCATAGACTTTTCTGCCCAGGATGGCTCTGAACTATAATCCTCATTCTCAGCTTTCTGAGTAGCTAGGATTATATGTGTGAGCCACTGGCATCTGGTATTTCTTCAAAAAGCATATAGATATGACAATACCTTTAGCCACTCGGAAATTTGCAAATGAATATACAAGTGGATATCAGTTCTCACCTATCAAAATAGCTACTACAGAAAATATTGCCAGGTATTGGTGGCTCATGTCTGTAATCCTAGGTACTTATGAGGCTGATATTGGAGGCTCATGGTTCAAAGCCAGGTCAAGCAGAATATTCCAAGAGACTATCTCCAATTAACCAGAAAAAATGGGACTGGAAGTGTGGCTGAAGTAGTAGGGCATAAGCCATAAGTAAGCAAGCTATGTTGTTAAGAGCATGAGACCCTACATTCAAGTACTGTTCTATCTATATCTATATACTACTATATAAAATTTATATATATATATATATACATATACATTAATGAGGATGAGGAACATTTGCACACTATGGATAGGAACATAAAATGGTTCAGCTACTGCAGAAAATTATATGGAGAGCCTCACAGAAATATACATGCATGGGGCTGGGAAGGTGGCTCAGTGGTAAGAGTACTTGTCTCGCATGCATGACGCCCTGAGTTCCATTCCTCAGCATCACATAAGCAGAAAAAACTGGAAGTGGCGCTGTGACTCAAGTGGTAAAGCACTAGCCTTGAACTGAAGAGCTGAGGGACAGTGCCCAGGCCCAAAGTTCAAGCCCTATGACAGACAGACAGACACACACACACACACACACACACACACACACACACACACACAAAGCCCGGCAATGGTGGCTCACACCTGTAATCCTGGCTACTCAGGAGGCTGAGATCTGAGGATTGCAATTCAAAGCCAGCCAAGGCAGGAAAGTCTGTGAGACTCTTATCTCCAATAAACCACCGGAAAACGGGAAGTGGCACTGTGGCTCAAGTGGTAGTGTTCACCTTGAGCTGAAAAACTCAGGTTCTTCAGTGCCCAGGCCCAGAATTCAAGCCCCACGACCAACAAAAAATAAAGAAGAAATATACACGCAAGTACCATATAACCCAGTAATTATTTAGAAATATAAATTTATATGCATACAAATCATGTACATAATTGCTTACAGGGGCTTTCTTTATAATAAGCCAGAAATAATAAAACCCTGGAAATAACAGATGTCATTTGAGAAGTGAATGGTTTAAAATATACCCACACCATGGAACACTACTCAGCAATGAAAAAGAACAGATTACTGATAAAAGATACAACCCTGGCACCAATCCCCCAGGAATTATGCCAAGTGAAAAATAAAGCTAATCTTGAAAAGTGACTACTGCGTGATTATATTTATATAACATTATTGAAATGATGAGATAACATGGAAAACAAATCAGTGATGCTGTAGGGTCAGGGAAAAAGGGAGAAAGATTAATAATAAAGGGTAACATAAGGGATGCTTGTAATGAGAGAACTGCTTTATGATTTGTCTATCGTGATCATACGAATCTATACATAGATCAACATTGCCTATAAGTAAATGCTCACATAAAAGGGTGCATCTTTAAAACACAAAATCCAAATACAGTGAGTAGATTTATCTATTTCAATTTCTTGGTTGTGATGTTACACAGTAATAATGCATGATGTCACCACTAGGTGAAATCAGATAATCAGTATCATTTCTTAGGGTTGTTTAACAATCTATTACTATCTCAAAATTCAAAGTCAAAAACAGGAGAAAATAAAGAGTATAAGATCAGTCAGGGGCAGGAGTAGAAAAAAAATTTAACTTCTTCTCAGGGCTCAATAATTGAAAGTCAAGGTGGAAAACAAAAGTAAATTTTAATTTTTTTAATTTTTTTGCCAGTTTGGCGCTTGAACTCAGGGCCTGGGTACTGTCCCTGAGCTTTTCTCAAGGCTACTCTACCATTTGAGCCACAATCCCACCACCAGCTTTTTCTGATTATGTGGTACTAAAGAATCGAACCCAGGGCCTCACGCATGTTAGGCAAGCACTCTACCATTAAGCCACATTCCCAACCCAAAAGCAAATTTTTAAAAGTGTAGAGGCCATAATATAGTCATCTCCTATGGAATCTTAATTTCTTTATGTTTTTGTTTAGACCCCCCCTATTTGACTGTTGCTGTTTTGAATACAATTACATCTGTGTTTTCTCAACCTCACCATCTTTGTAAGGTATAAATTCATAGAGTAGAAGGTGTCTTCTTAACCATCATATCCTGACAGTCGGGCACAAAAATAAGTGACAAAGGAAAGGGAGAACGAAATAATTCAAACAGAATGAATGAGATATGTTCAATTTTTTAAACGTTCCTAACCATTTACAGTTATATATTAGGTATGGCGTATTCATTCCTTTACAAGTTTCTAACAGGTATAAATGTTAGTGTGTGTTATGCAGCAACACGAATTTAGAAGTCTAAAGAATGAGAACATAGAAGGGACCTTAATTATGTATGCTGAAGTCCAAGTGTATTAACAGGTGAAATTATTTTTGCAGAAGAAACAGAGCAGTTGATTAAAATATTTACTAATAAAACCAAGTGCTCATTTTTTTAATGAGATTTGGTTCAATGGGATTTTACCGATTTTGCAACTCACCTTTGTTTCTCAAAACAGGATTGACTCCTTTGTTTTTTAAGGTGAAAAGAGTGGATGGAGCAAAGTAATTTCAAGTGGGTGAAGAAATGCCTTCGAGGGAGGGGATGCTGGAGTAAAAAAAAAAGGAGAAATGACGTCTTATTTCAAATATGTAACCCCTTGATGGGATTAGTCAATGAATCATATTCTCCTAAGGTTTTGTGCATCTATAGACATTTAGCCACAGTTGTTTCAGACACTGAAATGAGAGGAAGAGGAAGTGAATAAGCCAATACTAAATATACAGCAACCACCGACAGCAGGGATGCAGACAGAACACGGAGTGTATGTTTCTGTTTGAATCCAGCTGTTTTCGAACATTCCTAGAGGCACAGATACTAAGAGGATACTGGAAGCTAGAGCATCCCTCAAATTCGAGGGGGCAGATGTTTGTACACCCATAGAGACCCCTTGATAACTCTCAGTTATAGGACGAGTGGGAGGGCACAAAATGGAGCTGAGGTCTAGGGGCGCCCTAAAGGTCGTTTGGAGGTCTACCAGCCCTACATGTGCTTTGTAAAGGAGGAGCACTCCCGATGATACCTTCTGGCCCTCGGAGTGCAGTGGTCGGTAGGAAAAAATCTAGCCACGTTCGCGGGGATCCCCCCACCCCCGCCAACGGAGATATCGATAGTGACGGCGGGAATTTTTCTGATCGTGGGGCGGCACGCAAGGCCACATGCCAGGCTCAAGAAGAAAGCAGCCGATTCCGATTAGTGGAAATGTTCACCTTACCTCCCCCCAGATCAGGTGAGGGGTACTAACCCCGTAGCAACTGGGGTCTCGGATGCCCACAGAACTGGGGTAACGGGGCCACAGCATCCTTCCCTGGGGTTACTTACCGCGTTTTCGCAGCCGGCCGGCACCTGGCTCTCGTAAACCTCACGGAAAAGAACCGCTTGTCCGCTAGTGCTGGGGCGAGGAGGGGCGCGCCGCGGAGGCCAGAGAAAAAGCCGCAGCCCAAGCAGTGCGCGCGCACCCGGACAGCCAGCGGAGGCGGGGTGTGGCGCGAGCCCGGAAAAGACGCGCCCGGAGGGGCGGGCGGAGCGGGGGCGCGCAGTGGTGTGGCTGAGCCGGCCGAATCGCAGGCAGCGGACGACTCGGCCCACCCACGCGCCCGCCCTCCGCTCGCCCAGGACGTCAGCTGAAAGGCGGAGCCCAACAGGCTTCCAGCTGCGGGAAGGAGGGTAGTGGGAGAGGGAAAGGGCCCAGCCGGCGCGCGGAGGCGTCTAACGGCTCCCTCCTGGTTTCCACTGCCGCCTGGCTGGCTGGCAAGGCAGAGGAGTGTGCTTCGGGACAGCCTGATGCCTAACTGCGTTGAGGTACACACAGAGTCACGCCCGCACCTGCTTTTCTGGACTCCACCCGGAATGAAAGTTCCCCTGAGGTCATCTTCCAGCTGCCTTTAAAGATACTCATCTTTAGACTTAATTGCTCTTCCTTTAGAGACAGATCTTAACACTCTTTGACCAGCTCCTAGTAGCTTGACTAATACCTCCCCATCCCTTTATCTTGTTTGCTCACCTCAAGATTCTTGCTCCCACTAGCTCCTCAAATACCTCAAAGACGTACGGTTTCCACTAGGGGTATTGGCAAAATCAGACAAGAAGTGATAAGCAGACAAGTCAACTTAGTACTGAAGTACATTACTGTTCTGATGGCTACTGAAAAGCCACTCCTCCAAATGGTTCTCCCAAGAGCTTTGAAAAATTACTGCTGAAAATAAAATTCCACCGAACGGTCTCGGGACTTCAAAAGGGACAGACTGTAATTGCAAATCCATAGTGACAAACTGCCAAGAATGTATCACCCAAAAAATAAATGTCAGGTATTCTGCCAGTTACCAGATGCATTATGGTGGGCTGGCTTCCATTTCCTGCTGGTAACCGGCATTTGTCATCACTTGCTGTTTTTCTTCTTCTCACAAAATTACCAGATATCTGTATATATTACGCACTACCTCAAATTACAACCTACAGTAGTTCTTACTTTAATGTACATCAGACTCATCTGGAGTACTTGTTCAAATACGGGTACTGGGGGCTGGGAAGGTGGCTCAGTGGTAGAGCGCTAGCCTTGAGCTGAAGAGCTGAGGGACAGTGCCCAGACCCAGAGTTCAAGCCCCACGACCGGACCCAAAAAAAACACAAAAAAAAAACAAATACGGGTACCTAGATCTATAACCTCCAAAATTTTATTGAAGCTACTAGGGTTTGAACTCAAGTAAGCCCCACTTCCTGTGCTTGCTTAATCACTGGTAATCTATCACCTCTAGGCCAACTCTTTTTTGCCTATTTAGGAAATTTTTGCAAATAAAGGTTTGCAAAGTTTCTGCCCAACCTCTCTTTCAACCATTACCCCTTGCATCTCAACCTCCTGAATAACTAGGATTGCAGGTGGAAGCCTCCAATGCCATGCTACCATATTCTTGGATCCAGGACTGAGTAACACTAAGAAGTCTGCATTTTTAATAATCATCTTAGGTAACTATACTTGATTGCTAGGAGCACAAAGCTACAACTTTATCATGTTACTACTCTGAAGCCATACCACTCATTTAATTTCTAACAGCCCCACTCATGTATAATGTGCCTATAAATATTGCTAAGGCATTCATGAAAGTTTCCTTTCTGAAGATTGACCTAGAAAGTTTAGAACTTCAAAGACAAGCTTCTCATCTTCTTTTTTATGAGATCTTGTTGTAATATCAGAAATAGGTAACCACGTGTCAGCTATATAATCGACTAGGCACCTACCTTGTACAGAGAACTGCCATCTATAATAGGATTAACACCAAAGAAACTGAACTTAGTGCCCGCTTGAGGAATTAAAGGGATGCAAGGTGTCCATATGTCATATAATACACCTTCCTATTCAGGAGGCTGAGATCTGGAGGACTAAGCCAGCACAGACATTGAAGCCCATGAAACTCTGGGTACAAAATAACGGTCAAAAAGCTGGGCTACAGGTGTGACTCAAAATGTAAAGCAATAGCTGAGAGCAAGCAAGTCCTGCAAGTTTGAGACCCTGAGTCCAAGCCCCAGTACCACCCAAACAAGAACAAAGCAACAATACAGACCCATGGTAACACACAAATCAGTCAGACTGAAATGAAAAAGGAACTTATAATTAAAGAGTACTTATGCCAGTTTCCTTTATCATAAATCTCTGCCTACACATTTCTAATTAGGAAATTCTTAAGAACCTAGGAGTCCTCACCTTGCTGAAGTTCCACCAATTGTGCAAAGCATAAAAGAAACAAGTCACTAGAGGCTGAAGCTATCAGGTTTTGTTTACATGTATATACACACACATATAGTTCTTATTTGCATGTGCATATATCCTTGATACAAGTATATTTTTCAAAGGTATTTTTGAAATCTTTATCATTAAAACTATCAATGGCCACAGTTCTGGCCATCATTATCATCTATCATACCTCATTTTTCCTCAACATTTAGCCACACTCAATATGAGGAAGAAACATAAGTCACATCTCCAAAAAAGGGGACTAAATATATATAATACTGTTTCTAGCTCCTCAGGACTTTTTTTTTTTACTTTTTTGGAGGTCAAAACAAGCCTTCTTTGATTTCCTGCCATCTGAAACCCTCCAAGAATTATTACCCAGGAGCAAAACATTCCTCAAGCAGCTGTCTGACATTTTAGAGAGAACACATGCACCATTTCTTATGACTTAGCAAGATGGAAGATTGCTATACCTGTTTGAAATATGAACAAAGACATGCAAGTGTCAAGATTTGTCCAACTACACAACCAACTAGGAACAAAACCTGAATTTCCTACTACACCAGTGTGCTGGCTATTATGTCAGGTTCACTCAGTAGTACTGCCCAGAACTACCAATCCAGTTAGAAACACATATGGAGAAATGGAAAACATAAAATGCAATTTGCAGATTCGAAATACCACATGAAAACACTGAAAGCATGAACATTAAGCTTTTCAAAGCTAAATAAAGTTTAACAAGATCACTCTGTTAGCAGGCAAGGCTATTTAAACCTTGCCTGTTTTGTTGGTGTGTAACCAGAAGCTGTAACAGATAGCCAGGCTGCTCCTGGCATGAGTTATTTATGGAAAGACAGAGAACAACTGTTCTTCATTGACTGTGGAACAAGCCTTTGCATTTTAAACTTACTCCATGGGTTAGTAGAATAATAATTTCCTACTGTGGTCCAACTACAACAGCAGGACTTTACAATAATATTTACATGGACAAGCTATGTTAGATTTCACCATTAGGAAACTATTTTTTTGCAGACCTAATAAGCAAGGCAAATATTTTCCTTAGTGGTGTGTCTAAAACAACTAATGAAATTAGAAACCTAGGTAGAATATCTCACTGTGAACTAAATAATAACCTAAGTCACTCCTTAAAACAAAGAAAGGTCAAACCAGGGCTGGAGGTATAGCTCAGTGGTAGAGCATTGTGCCTAGCATGTGTGGACTGTGTTCACTCCCCTGCACCAAATAAGAATAATATGAAAATGATAAAAGACATAGGGGTTATTTTTAATAGATTCATCTTTATAAGTAGCACTTATTTTCATTCCCATACATTTTATTCATTTTTCCAATTAATTGAAATCTCCTAAAAAGTGAAAAGGTATCTAATGTTCCTAAAGGGGAAAATTCAGTGTTACAACAGGTCAGATCTTCCAAAATTAACCTATAAAATCAGTGTAGTCTCAATAAAAATTCCAGCAGGGTTTTAGCAGAACATGATTTCAGTTTCTCTCATGAAATTTATTTGTTGTCCTTTTTAAAGCTAACTCCTATTCCCTCTAAATAAAGTCCTTGGCAGTTATCCTTGAAAATTGCTTTAGCAACCTTCCCAAAAAGGAAACAAAATCCTATTTTCCATAAGGCCAGCAAAGAGTGAAATGTGCTGTGATTTTCAACAAATCCCTTTGGTACATGTTTGCTTGATCTCTTAGTGGTTCTAGCAAGGGTATGTTACAAAATAGCAGGTCATCAACTTTATAATTCATTCACATCCTCTTTCTTATCCTCCTCCTTTCTCATACAAGAAGGTTCCCAACACATCCCAGTTCTTAAAAGACCAATAAAATAACACAAAGTTGCTAAATCTTTCTTACTCAGAATCATTGACTCTTGTAAACGGAGGCCACTGAGAGGCACAATCTTAGGAGGGAAACCATCTGGGTTTTGAACTTTAGCTAGCTATCCTGGACCGGGTTATATAACTTCTTTCTGAGACTCAGGCTCTTCATCTGGAAATTGGTGATAATGATAACATACTCATATTCATTTGAGAGAGGACAAAATGAAATTCTACTCATAAAATGCCTGATTTATGACAAGTGTGTAGAAGCTAGTAATTAATTACTTTAATTATTTTAACATAAAACATCTCCCAAAGGCTTATGTGTTTGAATGCTTAGTATAGGTATGGGGGGGGGTACTTTAGAAGGTTCTGGAATCTTTTGGAAGTAGAGCCTAAGTGAAATAGATGACTGATAGTGTCTCTTTGAAAGTTACACCTGGGGGCTGGGAAAGTGGCTCAGTGGTAGAGCGCTTGCCTTGCATGCCTGAGGCCCTGGGTTCGATTCCTCAGCACCACATAAGCAAAAAGAAAAAAGCCAGAAGTGG